GAGGCAGGTGCTGGCTCTTCCACCAAGACGTCTTCTTGGACCCGTTCAGTCGCAAGCAAAGCAAGGCTTCTTTTCAAGAGGAAGAACATCCGACCAATCGTACTCTTCCGGATCCTCATAGGTGGCTCTTCTCAATTGTGGAATTCTTGGTCGTCGGGCATCGTGTACATGTGCTTGCGAGATTGAGAATTCGTCATCAACATACAGATGCTTGATTTCCCACCAAGACAATCCGCAATAGATTGATCGCATGCCTTCGTCATCATATGCCATAGGTTCATCCGTCTGTTTGTAATCATCGCCAGTTCCACGAGTTGCAACAACCATCACCTCCTTTTTCTGCTCTTCCACAGGTCCATTGCTCAAATGTCGACGTTCGTCTCTAATCCAATTCCACTGTTTCGCTCTCCCGTCTGCTATGACGAGATGTTCCCCGTCAGATTCAGAATCAAAGAGAGCGGAATATCCGAAATCGGGGAGCAAGACCTCATAGTTGTGGCGCTGAGCAGGGCCGAGGATACATCCGTACGGTTGAGGCTTATTGCATTTGTAAATATCCACAGAAGGGTGAGCAGTACATTCATCACTTGAACTGAAGATTTCTTCCCACATGTTTTGCAGCGTGTAGTGTCCGTCCCAGCATTCAAGGCGGTCCTCGACAAGGTCCATACTCATGTGGAGAGCCACCGGACCAGCGAGGATAAACCTGAGCTCTCTCCATCCGCCTGCCAAGAGGAGCATCTCTTCCAGGTCATAGATCTCTTCGTCATGGTCCCTTGCAAACACGGTGAGCGTGTCAAGATGCAAGCCTGGCAGTAATTGTAGGATTCTCGCAAGCCCAAACGAATGGCAACCTGTTCCGTTTTCGAGGTTGTGAGTTTGCGGATCGCGAACATGGAGCTTGTATGAAAGCGTACGAATGCGCCGAACCTGTGATAATGTGGACTTGCGGAGTCGGTGAAGTTTGTCAAGCATCATGATGGGATGGTCGAAATGGAACAAGACTCTTCCGAGCCACAGATTACAGGCTTCGTGGTGGACCCGGCGACACGTGTAAAGTATAGCTAGAGTCCGGTCGTGCTTTACCAACTCGCCTCTATTGTTCAAGGTGTACGTGAAAGAAATGCGCGTCGACTAGAACAGCTCCTTGTAGATCATCATGCGGATATCTCCAGCAAGGTTGAGAAACGCGCTCGGTACGCGTTGATTCAAAGATACAACCGGTGGTTTGATTGTATCCTCCGGATTTGCACGGCGGGACAATGTTGAGAAGTATGTGTACAATGGCTGCGTCACTGACTTGGAGTGCTCCATGAGTTGATGCCTCCGAGTATTCCCTTTGAAGTGTAAAGCAGTTTTCCCGAAAGTCAGCAGTGGGAGCTTGAGTTGATGAATTCTACAAGCCTGGAAAGCTGGAAAGATACTGTCATTGTAGAGCAGGTCGGGGAGTTTCTTGACGCGAAGTGCCTGAATACACAAACTATACCTTATTAGGAAACTTATACACAAAACTCAGGGAAAGAAAAACCAAGTCACGTGTAAGATATCGGCGTTATCGGCCTGCAGACGTGCTGGCAAGGTACGTTCCATGTCCATCTGATCTGGCATAACCATCCCAACCCGCGACAAACGGGTTGGAATGCCCTTGACCTTGTCATTTGCTCCCAGTCTCTCGAAATATCTTCACCGTCTATCAGCGCCTCTTCTCTCGCGCGTTTGTTAGGGCTGCCTCGCCCAGTCACCGAAGCACGAGGGGACCTCCGTTCGTGGCACAGCGCCCACGCGACAGGCGCACGAGAGAACGCGACACAGCCTGAACTGCGAGCTGCCTAGGACTCTGGATCTAGTCCTAGCTTCTTATTCATATACGCCGGACCTTTTACTGTTTCGTATCTAGACAACGCATACACATACACGCACAAGTCACTTCGCAAACGCTGTCCTCCTCGGACAAGGCTACCAAACAAACCGTCGACCATGGCGGATTTCATGAAATCCCTGTGGGATTCCGTCTTTACGCCTGGCCCGACCCCACCGCTACTTCTCGCGACGAACGCGTCCTTTGCGGCCCTTCAAGCCGTCCTCTTCGCCTTGCTGATTGCGACCTACAGTGTGCACTTTGTTGTACTCGGCATTCTTTGTGGTGCGCTTTGGTGGGCTATCAACTGGTTTGTTGCAGAGTTGAGAGCAGCAGAGGAATTAAAAAGGCGAAATGAGAGGGAAGGGGAAACGCCACGGCCTGCGGATACCGGGAAAGACATAAATGAAGCGAGACGAGAGGAACCAGATCGCGCCATCAGTGAGAGGGATGACGATGCAGAGGATGAAGACGGCGTAGACACGGAAACTGAAGGAGAAGAGGTGGAGTCAAAGGCGTCTTTGCTCGATCCAGCACTTGTGCACGACCGATCCTCCGATACCGCAGAGTCACCTTCGATGGGCAGCAGCGGTCACTTGCTACCACGGCCGGCTTCAAGTGCTGCAAGCGAGGCGTCTGGTGTACATGTCGAAGGCAGCTCTGGAGATGAGTCAGGCATGAGGAAGAGAGGAAGTGAGATGGAGATGAGTGGCATGACGGATAGTGAATGGGAGAAGGTCTCCGATGCAGGAGGGCATGAGAGCACATCATGATGAGCCTATGATATTATGTTGAATACGGGGCAATTAGATATCCGTTCAAGCGAATGATCAATATTCCGAACTATCCTCCTCCTTAGGTATAGTGCTGTTCAATAATGGAACTCCACATCATCTCCGACCTGGGTTGTCGTTGGCTGTCACGGTCAATCTCTGGAAATACGGCTCCACCAGACGACAAAGAGCCGTCAAAAGAGCAATGCGTCCTAGACCTCTCAACCATTTTCCTGTAGTTTATGAGCATCCATGCTCACACTTTGTCCATTTCGTCGGCTCTGAAACATTCCTGGTACAGAGACTACGCTGTCTCTTACCGAAATACTACCCTACTGTGACACTTCAACTCTCGAGCGGTTGCTCAACGCAAGCAATCCTACATAAATCGGCATTAACACGAGAATAGCCCAAACCAGAGTATTTATCCAGAACACCCTTTCTCTATCGATTAACTCTTCCGGTTACCCGGTTCCTGTCCTGCACGTGTGTGAGATCGCGACATCGCGACCTCCTGAGAAATCTCACTCGAGTTCCCATCCTGCCTCATCCGTTATTTACCCATCCTTGCAAACCAGTATGTCGCGGGACTGACCTTAGTCAGTCAATGCTTATTTGCATTCTTGCTTTCCACGTTCAAAACTCCCATTGGCTCAATCTCTTTGAATCTGGAATTGTCGAGCTATTTTCACTGTCGTCTTCCCCACAACCACGCGGCTTTGGAGGGATGTGCCTCCTTTCCCCAGCTTCGTATCTAAATGTGGCATAGGGCCAGACTACTGAAAAACTTGACTTATATCTTATGTCTGTCATATCCTTAACTCACCTAGTATCGTACATCTGCGTCGCGTCCATTCGGAGTGCTTCCGGATGTCGAGTGACGCGAAATCACTTCGCTGGACTGTCTCAACAGGCCCGCAGCCGTCCGCATCCGTCTTAATATTGGCAGATGTTCCGCCAGGCAGCGCTGACCTTCTTCCAGAACTAGCGATGTCGTGATGATGCTCATTATCGAAAGTCCGTGATGCCCCTCTTTCAAGAGGGCAAAGACTTTGACGGGAACCTCAGCCGCGTTGATAACGGCGACTCCTGTTGAATACGCCAATAGCCTACGCGATACAAATCATTTTGCAAATCTGGATTCGGTTAATCCTGAATTGTACGATGATCCAGACAAGCGTATATTGCAATTTACTAGACGAAGATGTGAGTATAAAACGATGATCGTTCCTCTCACAAATACTTGCTCTGCAGTGGACTGTCAATTTTCCTTAGAACTGTTTTCCTCAGTTTTCTAATTCCTCAGTCACCATGCGATCATTCACTCTTGCTCTGTTCTTCCTTCCTTTCCTCAATGCCCTCCCCGAGCCCGTCGCCGCGCCGGACGCCGTAGTTCTCGACGCTCGCAAAGTCCCGAAGCATCCTGGCTCCCCGAATGAGCCGGTCACTCCGATCTCCATCGGCGGTCCGGGTCCAGTTTCAATCAAGTCCAAAAAACCCGTCAGGCCTACTCCTTTGTAAAGAAGGGTCGGGTTCTAGGTCCACTCAAGCCACCTTCCATCTCACAAGTGGCTCTCCGGCATACGCATCGCGGGAATTCATGCACCTGGATAGGTACCGCCTTCGTCATGAAGAGGCCGCGAAGCTCAATGGCCGGTCCTCAGTGGTACGGTGATATCGGTAACAGATGGAAAGTTGGTCGGCGGATTGGAAGGAAGAGGGTTTGCATTCTCGACGATATACTCTGAGCACCGCGCCGAAACTTATAAAAAGAAAACAATGTGATAAATTAGAAATAAAACCCAGCAGAACTCATTTCATTCCTCTTTTTCCTATATTACGAATACCCAAAAACACATAATGTAAAATAATCAAGATAGTCAAAGACATTCTCACAGATACTGAACACTGTTCGTTTCGGTCTCTTCCGAATTCCAACTCCGTTCAAGTAGGTGTTGTAGAGAGCTCGTTACGAGCGGCAAGATTTAACTAGTGCTACCTGGAAAGACATGTGGTTTCACCAAAAAGGGTCCCGAATCATAGTTTGCTTGCCCGATTATGCGACATGAGAATTGAGATGTATGGTCCAAAACTGGGTAAAACTTTAGGTCTTACCCTGGGCCTAGGCTCGAACTGGAGGGAAAAGCAGCTAGACGACACCTGGCAACTCAATTCTAGAACGATTAAAGCGGCAATGATGCTGTTGTGATGGCAGTTAGGCTCTGGAGAGTTCATTCGGAGTTGTTCATATGTGCTGTGGATCTGAAAGGTGTAGAGGTGCTGGGGCGGTGAGATGGGACGGAAAGCGTTTCGGCGAGGTATGCAATCAAACTATATATTATTAATCCGTTTTTGAAATCAACGTTTTTGGTTCTGTAGTGTAGCGGTCATCACTCCGGATTCTGATTCATGCGAGTTGGGATCTTCCGGCAACGTAAGCCATGCCAACCCTAAAAATTATATTACATGCGCTAACATATACATCAGCCCGGTTCGAATCCGGGCAGGACCTCACCTTCCTTTTTTTTGGGGGAGCCTTTTCAGCACTTCATTCATCCTTCTTACTCCATTGTTCGTCTATCTGCAGCTCTTCGGCTGAGCTCTCTGTTTTTTGACCAAATTTTTGCACGACGTAACAAGGCGGAGCGAACACTTCTGGGAAATATGCAGATGGTGTGACATTCCTCCAGCCGCCTGCCCAACCCTGCGTTCAACGCAGGTGCCTTCTATTTAAATATTGCCCTCTGCCATTAGAGCAGCAACTTCTTCTTCACCTCTTCAACTGATCTCTATTATATCTGTTCTCTCCAATATTCGCACTATCCATAACAGCTTTCAGCTCCAACTCGGATTCTCGAAAACATGGCGGCAGGCACAATCGTGACCAAAATCGCTGCTTGCGAAATTGCAATTGCGTACCAATTCAGCGACAAGCTGCTTTGTGCGACGGCGCTTCATACGTTCCAGGGAGGGATTGTTGTTCGAGATGCTTTTCAAGCCATCCACCGGAACGACCGCTTGGCCGTGTACGGTGATGCGGTTGCCGCGAGCTACCTCTGTCGAAAATGGCTTGATATTGGTCTGCAGAAGAGTGATTACTCGCTTTGTCTTGTATATGGACGTTACCATGATTTACTAACAGTTTCACAGGCCAGTGGGATACTATACGGCTAGATGTCCTGTCAAACAGCAATCTTGCCGCGGTTGGTTTCGTTCATAGACTTGACCGTTGCATCAATCTCAATCCTGGAACAACAACCGTTTCGAGCAGAACAATGGCCACCACACTCGAGGCAATTATGGGTGCCGTTCATAAGGATGGCGGCGACTCTGCCCTCGGGCAGGTCATGGCGCATCTTGGCTTGACTCACGAACTTCTTGAAGTGGTAATGTTCAATTCCCCTCCCTCTGTCTTGCCATGAATGCTACGATTTGACTCACTTGGTTCTTTGTCTAGGTCCATATTCATGAGCGCGCCAAGGGCCCTCCTTGCGACTGACCCAAGGCCCCGCTACACTGCTGTCCACTATTCGCATTTACAAGCTCACTCGGCAAAGCCAAGGCATGTACTCCAGCATGATGATGGGTTAGTGTACAATCAATGCCTTTCCGTTGCCGACGGGGTTTTGCATTTACGAATAGTATGCAGCGATGCAGCGGGACCTCGGGGCAGTGGCGAGGCGGGCCTTCGGTGCCCTGATGAGTCGTGGATCGCTCTTGGATAGAGAGGCAGCTTCTGGGAGCACCTGTTAAGTCTATTGTCGGACATCAGCCATCATCCCTGCGTAGTGTTATGATGGACTTCCCCGGTGCTCCCAGAAGTTACCTCTCTGTACTTGAACGACACGAGCGCCAACAACGCGATAATGTTTCGCATTTGACAACCACAAGTCGCCTTCTGACGAATTTATGCTATCAGGATTCTGCCACTCAGGCCGATGATTCTGCAACCGCTGGACAGGCCGTCTAGCCAGCCAGGGCTGATGCTCCAGCCACACTGTCACAATATAGTGCAGTGAGAATGCTAGCTTCTGTTTTATTTATCGAATTGAGGGAGGGTGAAGTAATCGTTGAAGGGGTGGGTGGTACTCGGAAGGATCGTTCCAACTATTCTACACTCATTTCTCAAATTTCTCGTTAACATCTCAAACATAAAAAGAATCATGTAACTCGTAAAACGCTCAATAAAACCACACTCATTCTTTGATCCATTCTCTTACTCATACTTGGCTGTCTATTCCAGTCGACACATGCCAGCACCGCCAATAATGCAATCCAGCTGTCTGCTAACACAGCCGACCGCCACAATGCCGCACCAGACTACAGTCGCACCAAAGTCGTACGATATAAAGAGCCTCCGCTTATATTTGAACAGAACCTCCGCTCTTGGTGAGCAAGTGTTTTCGATGCTCTCACAGCTCGGTAGTTCAAACTCAACGACCTTCGTCCTCTGCACTTCCACGGCATTGATATGTAAATATTTGGAGTTAGTCAGTGCAAGCAACAGAAGCAGGCCTTACGCATAATGGAGCGTAAGCTCTATTACCAAGCAAGTCCACGACTCTGACTCGACATTAGCACTGAACAGCAATGGTTCACTGCGCGAAGTGGAAAATCACGATCTCGTTTTCGAAGGTTCGATTTGGATCTTCGTTCAAGCAACACACCCAACTCCAGCGAGAGTTCAGCGATGCGAACGCAAGATGCAGATATCAAAAAACTTATTTTCTACGGACGGCGCTGACATGGCTTTGTAAGAGTACCACTATAATATCAACTTTCTGCATCCAGCGTTGATGAAAAGTTTCGAATGAGCTAGTCATTCGCCGGACATTCCGCCACCGACAGGACCGCGATGTCATCATCAAATTGCTCGCGGACGTGCAAATATCGAGCTCCAGGTTTGTGTGAAATGCAGCAAAATGTGTTTCCAACGAAGTCAAGAGGACCCGATGACCTGCAACGTCTATCCACTGTCGAAGCAATGCCGATTGACTGATGATTGGAAGAAAATCGGGTTCTGGATTAACCCCATTGAGATATAAAAGATATCTTAGCTCCGGATCAATCGAATCGTGATTTGACAACATAGAGATGAATGACAGGGAGGGTTTGCACGCCTGGGGATTTTACTTGAGCCACAGGATGATTACTGAGCTTCCTGTCCATCTCAGAAAGACATTCCTGGGACGGCAGCAAGCAGGACAAATAGCGAGCTGGCATGCGATACCCTTAATAGCGTCGCTAGATAGTCCCGTCAGTCATACACTTCACTCCGATGCTCGTCCAGATTGATTCTACTTGGGAGAATTAGCTGAGGTGCCACTGGACAGCCTTGCAGTCGCACTTGACACGCCGTCCCACATGGCATCTCCGCATACAGCGGCATACGCGTGGAGCTGAACTTTCGTCTCACACCTGCTCACAGACATGAGTCGCAACCTTGAATTGCCCCCACCGAGGGGTGTGGCGATAGGCTCACATGTCGGAGCTCAAGTCGGAGCCTTTTGTCTTCGGCGGTCGCGTGCTCCCTTTGGCGGCCAATATTGACCTCTCAAGCGCCTAAGGAGCCCTCTGTGCCTCTCCGACGGCGACAAGGAGCGTGAGAGGCTCGAAGTCGCACGCCGTGGGCGCAGATCTGTGAGTGCGGGACGGATCGTCTGAAACTGCGCCGGTTACGTGAGGCGTGGGTGGCACGCAAGGGGCAGAGTGCGCGGGCAGAATCTGCGGCGTAGAGAAGGAGGTCTATAAAGCTCGTCTCTGTCCCTGCTGCCTTTCTTCTGCTAGCTAGCGATATCAAACAAACAGCGAGAAACAACGACAAACGCCAGAGTCGTCCCTTCTGCAGCCCCTGGCCGTCAGCGCAGCACAGCATTGGCCTGTTTCGGGATCGGCCGCTGGTTGGCTCCCTCGTGTTTCGCCGCAGGAAGGCCAGGCCCGCACGTCAGCTCCGCCGTCTTGGTGCGAATAACACCACCGCACACAAGCCTCCTCCCAGAACATTCCACTCCCTCTTCCATCGTTACGAGCACCACCGTCCTCTGTCGCCCGGCGTGCTCCATCATTCATTCATGCCCCTCCGCCAGCGCAGTGTGGGGCCTATGACGAACCAACCGACTTCAACATAAGGCCTCCGACATGCCAGCAGGCCAATCGGGCCTCCGCTGGATCATCTTCGTCCTTGGAGCGCTTGCGGTAGCTCAGCAGCAGCAACCGCAAGATGGCAGCCGATACCAGAGCTCTCCGCCGGAGAACTCGGTGTTGCGGCCTCGCACCATAAAGCACACCTCCAAGCCGTCGTCACGTCTCGAAGTGCCCCATGGCAAGTTCCGCGACACCGACGCCAACCCCCTCCACACATCCATATCACTACCATCTGGAAACAATCAGCGCGCCATTGCGACCTTGGCTCCAGCAGAGCATGACCCTGCTGTGCGAGCACCACTCTCCGCAAGCACTGCTGCCGGCTCCGGCCTCACCGGTCGCCGCAGTTCCGAAGCAGCCGTTGCGCGGTCCTTGCGAGACTGGGAGGTCGAGGATCTGGTCCTGTTGGCGACTATTGATGGAAGGATCCATGCAGTTGACAGGAAGACGGGCAGGAAACAGAAGTGGACCTTTCCTCCGGCCGGAGAGCCGTCACGACCCATCGTCAACACCCAATACCACCGTCAGAATTACTCGGGACACGATGCCACCATTGAAGCGGACGAGTGGCTCTGGATCGTCGAACCGACCGAAGACGGTGCCCTCTACATCTACAAAGACAATGGCCTGCAGAAGATTGCGGCCACCGTGAAGACATTAACGGACATGTCCACATACGCAAGTTCAGAGGAGCCGTTTGTCATCTATACTGCCAAGAAGGATGCCACACTCTTCACTCTGAACGCGGCCACGGGAAGACTGATCAAGGAAGTTTCATCAGATGCTGCAATGTTTGGGTATGCAGCGGAGAATAGTTGTCCTCCAGTGGCTGATTTTGAGAGTGTCAATGAGGAATGCGAATCGAGAAGTCATTTCATGATTGCCCGAACCGACTACACCGTCGTCATTCGCAACCAATCGACGCTGGAGCCGATATGCACCATCCGCTATTCCGAGTGGGCGGCGAACGGGCGAGACCGAGACCTCGGGGCGCAATACCAATCCACGCTCGACAATAACTATATCCTGTCTCGGCATGATGGTCATTTCTTGTCAGTTGATGCCAAAGATGTCGACTCCCTCGATGACCTGCGGCCTCGAAACCAGAACAAACTCTCAGCGCCAGTCGTCCGCGTCTTTGATGTCGCGCGCCATGTCGAGGCCGACCCGAACGAAGCATCGCTTGTCATACTGCCTCAACCGTCACTGCGCTTCGAAGAGACCAGCCAGAACCCTCACATCTTTGTCAATTGCACCGAATCAGGTGGCTGGTATGCCATGTCAGAGCAGAAGTACCCATTCGTCACGAGCTCCGCGAAAGACGCTCAGTGCTATGTAAACATGCTCAATTGGAACGAGCAGGGATTC